AAATAAACACCCTACATTGAAACATGTAATTTTTACCAATAAAAAACCTTTACGGACTTGCCAGCAATTAAATAATGGTCTCTCACCTTATTTCTTTCACGTTTTGTCACAAAATTCCATGATCTTCCAAAACAGTTTGCGTTTTAGGCGATTATTATCCCAAAATCGCACTTTTCCAATATTATTTTATAGTACGCCAGCGTTAAGTTACTGGCCAGAGTAATGGCGGACCTAACGCATGCGCACAGAAAATATGCCACGCGTTTCACCTGCGAATTGGGTTAGCACTATTTTCCACCCAGCAAACCGCCCTTTACACAATCGGAAATAAATTAAAGATGGCGGCTAATGGGAAAGAACCAAAAGCTAAAAGGAAACCATGCATGCACTGGTGCTTGGTCGTTTTGAGATGGCGAGTAATTTTATATTTTTATAATACAGTTTTTAATATCAACATATGAAAATATTTACAGATAAATGTTGCAGTATAAATTTTAATGCAACCACCTTAAGTTATAAACTTATAATCCAGGCTGGAAAATATGTCGTTTTTCGACGATTGTGTAAAATATTATATAAAATATTATATTGTGTAAAATATTAGATTGTGTAAAATATTATATTGTGTAAAATATTATATTTCAAAGTAAAGGGCGGTTTGCTGGGTGGAAAATAGTGCTAACCTGCGAATTGGCCTTCTGTATATTCTCTATTCTATGTCACAACTAATAAAGTATTAACATAAGCTCCTATTTCCGTTCTGTCATAATTTCCTAGTATCAAATAACAATAGACCTCTAGAAGTTGACTTGGCTTATGAGTTCCGTACATTTGCGAACTCAAGAACATCGCTCAAACGACGGTCAAGTTGTTCAAAGAAAACAAATGTTTTCTTTCACTTTCCCCTCTTTGATTACTAGAAAATTGGACTCACGTGAATAAAAAATCATTGTTATTTTGAAATAGAAACAAAAAATGTTTTTCGTATTTCCATTGGCTTATGCAAACCTCGAAGAAGTTTGTGAGAACAGTATAGCAGGTGCAACATTTGACCTTTGGTCCTACATTCCAATGATTTGCTCTCGAGTTCTAGTTCCAAAAGCTCATCTCACTTTGCATAAATCTACAGTTATCATTTCTGTTTAACTAACTAGCCTTTAACAAGCAAATGTAGTCAAGACAAGAAAGAAAACTTACTACATGCGGAAAACAGCTACAGACTATGTCCATGGTGGACTAGTCGTGGACTATGACTAGAGTGGAACTTTCATTACAAAGGAAGTTACGTTTGTATAATCACATTTTCCATATGATCCTTTCAAAAGATCAAATGGACAATGGGGCAATACAAACGTTAGTGATCAAAAAGATCTTGAAAGGTCTTTACTTAAGATATCTTCAAACAATTAATAAATAGGATGTTAAGACAAGATATTATATTTACAAAAAGTGTTAAATTACTACTAAGGAGGCCGTGTCAAATGGATTATATAAGGAAGTTATGAAGTAAAATACAGAGAAATTAAAAGAGGTTAAGTGGAATGGAATTTCCTTGCACGTTAAGTGAAGGCTTGTATTTATTGATTAGAAGGCTCTCATGAATGGAGAGTTCATAAGAATCGTTAGAAGAGGAGATTATTTTAAAGTCGTCTAAGTTGGGAGTGTGTCCAGTTGCGTTAATGTGAGCAAAGATGCTTGATAACGCAGGGTGGGAAACTTGGTTGCCTGTAAGGGGGGAAATTCCCAAGTGCTCCGAAAATCTGGTGTGTAGATGACGTGTGGTTTGACCCACATACGAGGCGTTGCAGCTTCGACACTTAAATAAATAGACTACACCAGATCTCAGAGGTTTGGGAATTTTGTCCTTAAAGGGGAAGAAAGAAGAGATACGTTGGGAAGGGAGGAAAACAAATTTAATAGATATATGTGGGAAGGCATAGCTGTGGAAATTAGTAAAAAGACCAGTGAACGTATATGGACGTGAAGAACTTTCCATTAGAGCGATGAATAGTGATGTCAAGAAATGGAAGTTTTCCATTGTGTTCGATTTCACTCGTAAACCTAATACTGGAGTGTTTGTGGTTTAAATAGGTAAGAAAGGGTTGCACATGGTCAGCAGTACGAAAAAGGAGAAAACAATCATCAACGTATCTTCTATAAAGCAAGGGTTTAAAGTGAGAGGGACAATTTTTTAGCCATATTTCTTCATGGAATGACAGGAATATGTTAGCGAACAAGGGTCCTAAGTGGCTGCCCATGGCAACGCCATCAACTTGGTGGTATAGATGACCGTTAAATAAAGGATAGGCCTTAGTGGTATGTCGGTTTTATGTACTTTGGGTAGTCCGTAGAGAATACATAAAACCGAAATACCACTAAGGCCTATCCTATCATGTATAAGTCATTACTCGTATAAGATAGCTAAATTTTTTATTCTCATTCTCACCCCAACCTCATCCAGTTCATTCATGATCAAAGATTCTTTTTCTTTTACCCAGGAAATTTTATCCTTGAACATTAACACTGATGATGTTGTAATGGCCAGTTTTGACATCTCTTCACTCATTACTAACATTCCCGTTGATGAAACCATTGAAATAATTACCAACCGTTTGCTCGCCCACCATAATTCTTTTCAAAGCCTCAGTCGCCCCAACTTTTACTAATCTCTTAAACCTCGCAGTTAAGAATTGTCATTTTTCATTTAACGGTCATCTATACCACCAAGTTGATGGCGTTGCCATGGGCAGTTCCTTAGGACCCTGTTCGCTAACATATTCCTGTCATTCCATGAAGAAACATGGCTCAAAAATTGTCCCTCTCACTTTAAGCCCTTGCTTTATAGAAGATACGTTGATGATTGTTTTCTCCTTTTTCGTACTGCTGACCATGTGCAACCCTTTCTTACCTATTTAAACCACAAACACTCCAGTATTAGGTTTACGAGTGGAATCGAACACAATGGAAAACTTCCATTTCTTGACATCACTATTCATCGCTCTAATGGAAAGATCTTCACGTCCATATACAGAAAACCTACGTTCACTGGTCTTTTTACTAATTTCCACAGCTTCATCCCACTAACATATAAACGCAGTTTAATATTATGTTTAGTTCATCTCTTCTTTAATATTTGCTCCACTTATAAAAACTTCCATACTGAAATCGTAAAAGCACGCAGATTATTTATTTCCAATTCATTTCCCTGTCACATATTTCATCACTGTGTGAAAATGTTTCTTGACAAAGTCTTTTAACCCAAACCACCTGTTCATACCGTACCCAAGAAAATACTGTATTTCGACCTTCCACTTACTGGTCTACACTCATCCCAAATCCGCACACAAATCAATCGCCTTTGTCGTGCCGCTTTCCCACACTGTGAAATACGATTCATCTTTCGATCCACCAAACCCCTCTCCAGCCTGTTTACTTTCAAGGACAAATTGTCCAAAAACTCTGAAATCAAATGTTGTCTATTCTTTTAAGTGTCGATGCTGCTCCGCATCGTACGTGGGCCAAACCACTGCCACCTACACACTCGAATTTCAGAGCATTTGGGTATCACCCCTTTGACTGGTAAACCTTCTAAACATCCCAGTCATTTCTCCATACTATCACACCTTAAATCCACAGGACACACCGCCACCTTCGAGGATTTTAAAGTACTTTCTTCATGCTCAGACTCACAAGAACTTCTTATTCACGAAAGCCTCTTAATCAACAAAATGAAAACATCTCAAAACGTCCAAGGAAACTCCATTGTCCTTCAGTTGCTTTAATCTAATTTCGTCCGTCCTCATGTCTGTATACTTTATGATTGTTCGTGTCTGTTTTTTTTTGTTTCTTTCGTGTTTCTACTTATCCCACGTCATACCATCTTATCCAATATTTACTAACACGTTTTCATCCCACCATGTAATTTAATATTATGTAAATAGCTATTATATATATATATATATATATCCTTCTATACTTGTAATTCAATATTGTCTGATGATGTCTTGAGAGTCAAGACGAAACGTTACACTTTTAAATAAATATTTCTTTTAATGCATTAAATGGCTCTTTTAAAAGCACTTTGCTAGGCTTTGATATTTATATTTAAAATTCGCTTTCCGCCCGGTATATCCCTGGTCGCAATTCTGGTCAATTATACGTGAAATAAAACCGTTTTTGGTGAGTGACTTTCTGGTAAATTCGGGTTGTGTATGAAAATTTTCGTAAGTAGAACAAAGTTTGAAGATGCGGTGAAGTAAGCAGGAGACTAGTGAAAGTTTGTAAGTAAGTGGGATGAAGCTGTAGAAATTAGTGAAGAGGAAAGTAAAAGGTTTGCGGTAGACGGAAGTGGTGAATTTTCCGTTAGTGCGAGAGATGTCAATGTCAAGAAATGATAGTTTTCTGTTTTGTTCGACTTCAGCTGTGAATGTGATGTTCGGGTGTTGTCGGTTCAGATAGTCAAGAAAGAGAGGGACATGATAGGAGGAATGAAAAAGTAAAAAACAGTCGTCAACATAGCGTCGGTAAAGTAGTGGTTTGAATGAAGAACTGTAATGCTGTAATAGTTTTTCACTAGACAGTTTAAGTTCGACTTCTGATACCAATACCAATGCGATGTTTGAGGAAAACAAGTAGTTTGAACTTTATGTACTATTTGCAGAACTATTTTTTCTTAAATTCAAATAATCGAAAGATTTCTAGCTATCCATGCATATTCCACCCACATTACTATACAGTAAGTTGTTGTTGTGATATCGGAAACGCCGCCTTTGAACTACGTACTTTGACCACTTAAGATTGAAGACATTGCCGCAACTTGTCTTTTGATTTGTCTAAAAGATCAATGTGACACACGATCTGCATGCCATTCAAACATTTTCTCTGCATAACATCTTCAGTTGCCATTGCATTTATTGTTCAGCTAAATTAAATCCAAAGTGCAACATGTAACAATAGCAACCTTTCAGAAGAATAAGAACATTACAAACATAGCGTCTTCATACATGTTCATCATCATTTATTTGGCGAGCCCTAGTTGTTCTGAGACAAAGAATGCACTGAAATTACTGTATACTGTACACATCGTATAACGCTAAGGATCACAAACTACAAGACAGTGCTCAATACCACGAAGCAAAATAGCAAAACTAGTCAAAAGCATAAAAAATTTACCACAGACTGTTTTATCACGATAGAAATTATCAAACTAAGAGATAAAATTTTGGACTTTCTTCATATCCTGTATTTGTAATGTAAGCACACATGCAGGTTCTCATGCCAAGAAATTACAGCAGTATCTAGTTCGTATTCGCACCTGCACGCATAACAGAAGATCGTTCTATTTCTATTTTCCTCCTCCTTAGCTCACATGACCAAAGGAGGTCTTCATTCAAGAGCTGTATAAATTTTCAAAAAAATGAATATTATTATAAACATACAAATGATAAAGACAGAATATTTTTCCTTTATGTCCGTAGCGAACACTAGGGATGGCCGGGGGATTGGGGTAAAAGTATACTTATGGCCATGCTCAGGGATCTCCCTTGAAATCTCATGCTTTAAGAAAGAGCCCCCCCCCCAATATTTCATTAACCGCCACTTCTTCATGTCATAGTTAAAATATCAGCTCCGAAATAATTTAAATGAAAGTTGGAAAGTCGAGGTCAGTACGTACAGTTTCCTTAAAGTGCCTAGATCACCCTCAGTGAAATAATCTATTTAGACAGAGTGCGCGATTTTAATAACACTTGCAATATAATTTTTACGACGAAAATTGATCTTCCTCGACTTTTTGAGTTTCGAAATTGGCTTTTTTCGTGTTTGACCGTGAAGGGCAATGATTGGAATAGTTCACCGGACGTGACGTTTGTGGAAAAACACGCTGGTTTTCAACGCTATATTTTATGGCAACATTTGTGGCAAAGTCGAGGGAGTTAATCAATTCATTTTTATGAAATGTGTGTTTAGTGAAATTTTCGTGATTGAGAGCGCTGTATAGAACAGTATCGACCTCGACTTCCATGATATAATTCGATAAAAAGAAATCCGAGTCAAATTGACCATTTAAATTGTTGGAAACACTGGACGACATCGTGTGAGCGAAAAATGAAATTAAGAATTAATAAACAATCAAATCATAAGATATTACTTTTCACGACACCATAGCTTCCACACACGCAGCTAGAACAAGGTATATAATTTCAGCAGTGTTCATATTTTAATCCAGAAACATCTTGCGAACGGTGAACCGTAAACTCGTACAATACAGAAAATAAACTTGAAACTTATACGTCAGCCAATGTAATTCCCTATGTTTACAACACTTTAACTTTCCCGCCTTTGAAATGTTTTATTTTGATTGGCTCTTAGGGCCTGTTTATATGGAGCGGAGTTACCCGGCTAGTACTTCCGTTCATTTGTTTTAAATGAAGTTTGGCAATGCTAACTTCGAGTAAAGGCCATTGAGTTCTATAATAACTGGAGCGGCTATCTTAAGCGCGGCCTTAGATATCTGATGACGCCAAAAAAATGGCGGATTTCGTCCTTTGCCGCTGAGATTTACCGAAATTCACCGCTTTTCCGAAAATTTCACAATTTCCCACTCCCTCCTGAGGGAAGAGTGAGGAAAATGTATGTGTGTTTTTGGGATTCGGCAAGCAATTTTTTGATGAAAATCAAGGTAAAAACCTTAAATTCATAACAGCGAGTCAACTGTGGTTGTCAGTTATCTGCTCCTACGAGGATGCATTTATAACTATCGACGAAAGACCTATATGTCGGCTACACATGTATGAATGCAGATGTGCGTCGTTTTCTTACCAGCGTCAAACTTGTTTGATTGATTAAACTCTTTAGTCTATACAAAAAAGTATATCATAGTTCATCTCCACGGTTCACGAGAGAGAAGTTAGCTTATTAGTTATCATTGCTATTTTGCTTCTTTTCATGCAATGGGCAATGGCTTTTTTCGCCACAATTGTAGGATTTTTACTTGTTTCTTTAAAAAAGTACATATTAAATCTCTGGATATTTACGGATTTTCTGTAATTGAGTTTCATATGAAATTTCAAAGACTCAAGTCTGCATAGGTTTGGTAAATGAAAACAAACAATATTGTATAGAAATTACTTTAAGTAACCTTTTTGTGATGTTGTGAAGTGCAACTACATCAAATACTTGTAAAGTTGTAGCACATTTTGATTTTGTTGTATTGATATATGAATTGGGCAAAATGCAAATAATCATCAAAACACTTACGCTTCCAATGGTGTTTATAATTCATTTGTAGTTTTAATACTTCTACCTTTCTTTTTCACTTTGTTTTGTTTTTCCTATATTTGCAATATAAGTACACAATTTGAATGATTAACACATTTTTCACCTCAGTAATAAATTTCATAAGCAGTTGGTAGTGCATTTTGTTCTCTGAGTATCCACATCTGGTGTTTTGTTCATACAAGAATGATGAAGTGCAAGTAGATATGTCATAGCAAGGCAATAAAACCAAATGAATTACATACCTATAGTGTACTTTTATGCTAGAAGCTTAAAAGCTTTTTAGAAATTAGAAAGTTATTGGATTATATTACCTCTATATCATCAATCTCATGAAAAGAAATAAGAAGCAAAAAATTTGTAGAAAAACTTTGAAAAGTGAAAAACTTTTCTTTACAAAAGCAGCAATAATGCATATGATAATTCTCCATTCTGTACTCTAATAGGTAAATAAGCTGAAATTTTTCTTAAAGAAATATAAGAAATATATAAGAAATATACAGTACAGTAACTTTAAAGGTTTCATCACTGAATCTTTAATGCTTCAGTATAGTGCATTAGATATTCGTTACATTCAAACAACACTCAACTAAAATATTTTAATAAAGATATGACATGATTTAAACATTAAGTTACATAAAACCCAATGGCTTATACAGTTTGAAGCTTCACATCTGCATCGAGTCATCATCAATCTCAGTACAAATGTTTACATAGACACAAACTTTATGGCCTTCCATTTTACATGTTTGTGAATTGACATTTCATTAAGCATCAAAACACACACAACCTTCTTGCGATCTTTCTTTGGATCATGAACTTTAACTTCAAAGCATTCAAGGCATCCTTAGTGAATCCATTGTCTCCATCCATAGAATTTGACCAGGATCAAATTAAATAACTCTGGATAAGGAAGACAATAAATCAATTACCTTTACAGCATTAACATTTTTTTAAGACTCTGCCTGGTCAATAACATCTTCCAGTCATCTTTACTCCTTGATCTTCCCTGCATGTTGTCAGCAAATAGAACATATCAAGCTCTGCTCCAAATCATGTGTACCGTTGGGGCTGATCATTTCTTTTTGATACTTACTCACAGAGCAAAATGTGTGCAGGGTCTTTTTTGCTTTAGGGAAACTATTTTGCAAATAAATTGGTAAATTTACGATTTCATGCATCAACAAATGACAGAAAAGTAAGTAGAATTTTATAAACAAAAACAAGAAAACATCAGTATATTTGGCGTTCAAGTCAGTCTTAAAAAATACGATCATTAATATGTATTTTATGGCTTTTCAAGTGCATGCATAATAGCTTTTCAATCGTTGACGGACTAAAAAAACAAACAACTACCTCACCTGTGAGAAGCGATATGTTCTTTTTGTGGAAACTACGACATCCAACAATTGAACGATTGAAGTGTTGGCATTATAAAAGAAATGCCAAAAAAGAATCGTCACAGAATATGGAACTAACGATATCCATATTCTGTGATATCGTGTTTGTTTTTGAAAAATTCTTTATAATTTACTATAGACACCAGGGGGAGGTCGAGAATATTATTTTTCTGCAAAGCGATCATTTCAGCGGAAATACGTCCTTTGGCCGCCATTTTTTTGGCGTCCTCGCCCCAGTAAAGTTAGCCGCTCCAGTTATTATAGAACTCAATGGTAAAGGCGCGAGATTTTAAAAAGCCTCACAGTTTCGCAGCAAAAATGGAATTGGTGAATATAAAATTGAAAATTATGACATGTGTATGTTTTCGAACAATAATGCTGCAAGTACAAGGCTTAGTACTCATGCGTACCAACAGAGCCAATTTTCTCGCCTCGCTGAGTTACGCGGCAAATGCGTTTATATGGAAAAATTCATCCCGCCTAGCTGGGTAACTCGCTTACACAAACCGAGTTCCCGGCAAGGCGAGTTACTCGGATGTGTCATATAAACGATTCACCGGGAAATGCATTCATTTTATATAAAGGCCGAGTTACCCAGCTTGGCGAGTAACTCGCTCAGCCGGGTAACTCGACTCCATATATACAGGCCCTTAGATCACTTCTTTGTTTGTGTAACCAATCCGAAGCAATTTTAAAAAAGAAATTTGCACTGGTGTTTTCCATTTTTCCATTGATGTTTCGTATTTTTGTACTGGTATTTAGGAAATATTGCATTGCTCTTAACTAGCTAATTGAATTTAGAAATTTTTTCGTGTATATCATTACTTATGGTATTAACACTATTTTTATAGCGTTGAAAAGCAGCGTGTCCTCAAATGTACGTCACGTCCAGTAAACTAGTCTAAGTACTAGGTCCTCAAAGCGAAACACGAATAAAGCCAACTTAAGATATTTCCATCACACCTCTAGGTATTACTGACTCCCTAGTGCGGACACTAAATCACGGTCGCTAAGCTTTTTGCTAAAACGAGAGTTGACTGTATGCATTTAGGACATATTTTCTAGAAGCTTATATACTTTAAGAAAACTCGCAAAAAATGTATCTTGACTATAATAGGCAAATGCTTTGACAATCGAATCTGGAAACCTTTGCAAATATATGAATGTGTTCTTACCTCAGATGAATCTGGCTTGATGTGAAAGGCTCGGGAAAAACTCAAAATTGCCTTAAATAATAAAAATGCCTTTTTACCAATAATAAACTATTGCAAACAACATTTATATTTATTATAATAAATGAAGCAATTCGTCTTCGCGATCAAATCAAAAAATATCTTACTACCCAATAAATACTCAGATCAAGTTGATGAGTTTTTAAAAAATTGAAATTACCAGAGAAGCACAAAATGATTTCTACATCACCATGAGAATTTCTCACAAACAAACTGTTCATTTTGCAAAACTGAATTAGATTGCATCGAGTCAATTTCTTCTTCCAGAATTGCGTTTGATGAAAAAACTCCAGGGAAACATTTAAAGGAACATATTTTGATCTTGTCAAAGCATTTTCAAATGTTACATAATTCATTTTATTGGTGGTGTGATCAAAAAATATCATCTTAATAAATCTGTATTGAGAATTAAACGGAAGTTTTAGAAATTTTATTTCTTTCCCCCAGGTATGCCGATCGCGCATTACAAACGTTACCAGACGAAACAAACAATGTTGGAAGAGCAACACAATTGTTATGAGGCACTTTATTTAAGGCAGTGAGAATGTATTTTTGCACAAAATAAAATAGTATGCTGATGTACTATAAACAAAATAGAAAGTAAAAGTTTTAGGAATTTATTACCATTTGAATTTCGCCCATTGCAAGTTGTGCACGTCCAAGAGTTTGAAATGAGTTATGACATCGAGGATTGATCGATACAGCTTTTTCAGCTGCTTGAACGGCGGGAAAAATTTCGTTTAACTCGAGAAACACCTAAAACAATCATAAAAATTCGTTAAAAAATGACAAAATCTATCAGTGAAAAATTGTGACAATCTAATATTAATGAAGGAACGCGACTACTTGATGGGAGAGCGTAAGGAGGAATATGCGAAATGTACGCAGGTCAAACGCTCCTTTAAAATTAATACAAAGATAATTTCAACAAACTCATGAGCATAACTACATACACATTAACTACCTGGACCTTAAAGCTACAATTTCTTAAACTTCCTAAAAATAAAATTATAGTTAAAGGAAACCAGTAATTATACAAATAATTTAGTACCTGAGCCTTCATTTCATGAAGAACTTCATTTTCAGGTGTCAGTTCTATGGCTTCATTCCATTTTGTAATTGATTCCCAATACCTGGTATAAGGCATTGGTATAATATTAATTTATTTCAATTAGGACATTGATTGATTTATTGTCCTGTACCCAAAGTTTTGATTTATGGTATGCTTTTAAATAGAAATATAAAATTTTTCATTAAAGTTACAATTCTATGAATTTCATAAATTCATATGGACTGCATGAAACAGTAGTGAATTGTTATTAATATATGTGTATCTTGATGTTGAACATCTAACAACATGGAGAAAAACAAATTAAATAATGTAAGGATCAAATAATTTGATACAGTCTGCAGGTGTATGCCTTTTATGAAGGTGCATGGACTTTACTTTTAACTCTACAAATGTTTAATTACACACATAGACATGGTGAAAAGAAACTGCAAAACATTTTCATATTTTTATCCAAGAATCACACATTTACTGTGTTTGAATTGTATGTGAGAAATATTAAGGTTGAGAGTTACTGGTATAGACTACAGAATGTTGCTTGTCCTTTACAGACAGTAAATCAGAAATACAATGTCAATATCGCACAACAGGATAAATTGTCTAATTGTAAATTTTAAACTTTGATCTTTTACAATAAATGTTGTTGAACATATTCAACTTAACAGCAACTTTCTTCTTGAACAAGTTTGCAATTTCCCAAGCATCATTTATATAACATCATGTTACATCAATTTTCATATGCTTTTGGACAAATTAAATAATAAATTGATGAAAAAGAAGTATGAAATTTAAATGAAGTATTATGTTTGTACAATAAAACGTTCATAAATGTTTGTAGATGTATATATCGTCCTGGTTAGTGAAGTCCTAAGAAGTTTGTGGGTGTTGATGCTGACTGAAAAGTCGACACATCAGTCAACATCAGCACAAACAGTAGTTCTCATTGTAAAAACATCAGTCAACATACGTAAACACAAACAAACGCCAGCAATCCATCTCAGGACTGTATACTAGCCTAGGCGATCGACACTTACAATTACAAACATGTACCCCCAAGTTCACACCATTCATTTTGAATCATTAACGGGTTATTTTATTATATTTAAAAAAAGACAGTTAATAAGATGTGCACAAATGAGTGATATGACAAATTTACTTTGTGTTTAACATTTTTGCATAATTACATACGTAAACTGTATCAGTACACATATAATATCAATGAAAATCATACATAGTTGCAAATATCAATTTTAAATTCAAAATACAGACCAACAACAACACTCACCTTTGTAACTCAGCCAGTTCGATTCCTTCATTCTTCAAACGTGTACTTTTTGCGATCGCATCTTCCAATGAGACGCATTTTGGCTTTTTCGCTAAAGTCCTCCAATCTTCGACAAAAGGTTCCTCGTCCTCTTCAACAGTGAACGAAGCATGACTTAAATTTGGCGAAGTTTTACATCTTCGTTTCCAGATGAATGTTTTAGAAGCCGCCATCAGTGTTGCCAGATAAATTTTCTAATTATTCATGTTCTCTGACGTCAAAAGTTCACAAAAATTACCAAAAGTTCATATATTCACATTGTTAAAGTCGGAATGTGTCGGAAAATGCCGGAATGTGTCGAAAATGTCGGAATGTGTCGAAAATGTCGGAATGTGTCGGAAAATGTCAGAAATTATCGAAATATCTCGGAGATTGTTTGTGATTGTTGAGCATACACATAACATGACCAGTAGTCACCAAAAACGATAAATAATCAATTGAAATCCGAAACAGCTCTTTCAAATCACATTGATTAGCAAATTGAATAAATTTAAAGAGCAAAAGTTACAATAAATTAATATGAGGAACGAAACGAAATCAGGCTTAAAGATATTTTCCCAGCCTAACCAAGGAAGGAGAGCTCGACCTGTATAAACTATATTATGCTTTTGGGTAAATGCTTCATTCATCGATACTCGGCTCACTTTCAAGCATTAAGTAAACTGTTAAGAGTCTATGTACCGTTTTTAATTGCTGTCAGTCGAGTCCTCGTTCTCGTCAGCACAAAGACTGCTGATTGACATCCTTTGTTTAGCTCCAAGTGGGGGTGAAAACTTTACGCAACCACCGGACAACTTGACACCATTTTTTACCTTTATCAATGCCCGGACTGTTGCAGTTTGCAATCAATTTCTGTTCTTGGTCTTGATTTAGCTGACTGACGAAAACACTCTTTCCACATCGACCTTTGCATGTGGCAAGCAAAGCAAACTTTGCATGAAGTCACAAAAGAGGTCAAACTTCGCATTTCCAATGCCATCAGTAATCTTTTCAAGGCGACCCCAAAATTCTTCTGGTTCCATACCATCGCTGTCGAAGGGTAAGGTGACATGAGAAAGCATACGTCACTGGTCATCAAGTGCTTGTTGTTGAGACTCGGATATAATATTTGGAAAAGCCATGGCAAGAAGAGCAAGAGAAGAAAACTTTGCAGACTCACGCCTGTATCTAAGACTTGAAGCATCTCAATGATCGAATCTCCTATTGGAAATCGACTTTTTATTTGAGAAACAACTTCAATGTATAATTCTTGCACACACTTAAGAAAATGTTGCAAAAAGTGAAAATATAGCTCCATATAGGATTCTGCAAGAGCAAAAGAATCTTCTCCGAGATTAGCAAATTATCGTGACCAGCCACCGCTTGTCGGAACTTATGTAAATAAGTAGAAGATAATTGTTATTTGATACTAGGAACTTATGAAAGAACGGAAATAGGAAATTATGTGAATACTTTATTTGTTGTGACACGTTGAAAGTCAGGGTTTTCGGTCGCTGGCTGTGAATGTGAAAGCTTGAAATGTTTAAGATTATCTGTGATGCGGAATAGATATATTGAGTAAAATTGAGAATTGTGTGTCGAATGCGCGTACAGTAGGATAGTATACAATCCCAGAAACGAATCGGCAGACGCATAACTGCTTTGTGCTAACACTCAAAAGAGAAAATTGCTAAACGTGGTCCTTCGAGCAGGATCTTTTAGTTGGAGATCTATTTGGAAATTCGAGTTTGTTAACCCAATATTATAATGGATGACTTAATGAGAAAGAAACGAGTGCGAGCAGGACATAGAGGATCAGCGAGGAAAATTTCTAGTAAATTAAAAGACAAAATACGAGAAACGGACGGCGAGATCGATAGAAACGAATTGAGACAACTACGGGATGGATTGAACGACAAGATCGCGAATTGAAAATCCTTGATGACGCGATTATCGATATGTTGAGCGAAAGCAAAAAGGAAAATGCGGAAGAAGAATTGGGAAAAGAAATTTAAGATGCGGACGAGAGAGAGCAATTTTGGATGTGAACGACATCATCAAGGAGTCTAAGATTCCACTTGAAACGGCAACGATGACATTAAATGGCACACTGAACAGTGGTTTTAGTTGTGAGACGCGCAGAGTTATAAGAGCAAAACTCGCTAAGTGGGTAGTAAAGAATTTTAGTGGACGGTTCCAGGAATGGCAAGAATTTTGGGATTTGTTTGATAATGCGGTGAATAATAATAACGGATTAGCTGACGAAGCCAAGTTTAAATGAAGATATGATCTTCGCACTTTGCTGGACAATTTAAGCAATTGTCTCATTAACCTGAAAAATTCAGGTGACTCAACGGGATTCGAACACATGACCTCTGCGGTGCCGGTGCAGTGCTCTGACCAACTGAACTATGAAGTCACACAGTGGTGAGTAGGTCAATTTTGTTGGGCTCATGTTATCTCGTGAAAGGAAGATAACATGAGCCCAACAAAATTGAGCCCAGTCTCACCACTGTGAGCCCAGTCTGAGCCCAGTCAAAAGTGAGCCCAGTCTCACCACTGTGTGACTTCATAGCTCAGTTGGTCAGAACACTGCACCGGCACCGCAGAGGTCATGGGTTCGAATCCCGTTGAGTCCCCTGAATTTTTCAGGTTCATGAGACAATTGCTTAAATTGTCCAGCAAAGTGCGAAGATCATTTCTTCATTTAATTTCAAACACCGCACTGCATAAAACATTCTTCATATGACATTCCTTTCACGAGATAACATGAGCCCAACAAAATTGACCTGCTCACCATTGTGTGACTTCATAGCTCAGTTGGTCAGAGCACTGCACCGGCACCGCAGAGGTCATGGGTTCGAATCTCGTTGAGTCACCTGAATTTTTCAGGTTCATGAGACGATTGCTTAAATTGTCCCGCAAAGTGCGAAGATCATACCTTCATTTAATTTAAAACACCGAACTGCATAAAACATTCTTCGTAGACAAGTTTACGTATTTAAAGAGGCTTTTACTCGAACCTGCAAGATCGACAATATCAGGATTTGCCCTAACTTCAGCGAACTATCACGAACGTGCGGGAAAAGGATCTAGAAAGCGCATATCCACGAGTTAATGAACGTAAAACCATTGAGTTCTATAAGACCTGGAGGGGAAATGTCAACAAAATTACTATAAGTTATTAGCGCGCGGCCGCGTGGTCGAAACTTGGCGGATTTTGGTTATCAAAGTCAGCGGAAAAGACGCGGGCTCATAAAATAAAATATTTTTCGACCACCCGGATTTGACAACCACAATTGCCATTATATAACCTATCAATGCCAAGCACAAAAACTTTTAGAAATTTTATCTTTAAAACATGCTGCAAACTTGTTTGCTATACGGATGCTGAAGTAATGCCAGAAAAGGAAACATTTCACGACACCTGTAAGCAACGTAAGATTGTTTACGATTTAAAGTGTTCAATGTTTTGTTTTAAGTCAATATTTGACTGTATATGAATGTTTTAAGTGTGGTGGTATATATTTTGTGAATGTTTTTACTCCTAAGTTATAATTTAAGTTATGTTTATCCAGTCTTATTTGTTCTTTACTTAATCGCTTGCTAGACGAGGCAAAGCAACCAATTCTTATCGAGATATGCATATCTTAAAACTCCTTGTTTCAACTGAGTTTACCTTCAAGAAATGGAGGATTTTTTCATATTTTTCTGAAAATATGAAGCAAATATTAACAACAGAGCTGTATTGAAATCAAATGCAGTGCAGCATTAGTTAATGAACTCTTTGGTACATGTCGTACAATAAAAAATACCTGTATTAAACAGCTAGCCTGGACAATTTGATAGATTATGGACAATCATAATGACGGTGTGTAACGGTTTTCTTTATGCTAAAAGTTTTATAAAGGCCATCTGGTGTTTCTGTAAATGAATTGTTTGTTATAGTAAACAGGTTAGTACATCAAAATCAAGATAAAAACTACTTTGTTCAATAATGTGCCAAATTATGCTCCTACCTTGAAAAATTCTCTCAAGAAAAGCTTATGATGACATGCATAAAACATTTAATATAGTATTGCATCATCTGACAATATCCATACGTGTTTCAATTCCAGGTGATTAAAAATTCACATCAGATGCATTGGTTGCAATGAAGTTGAATGTGGAAAAATTGATGGCAAAGAAATTTTTATGTCTTTTGAAGAATTACGATATCATTTAAAAGAATAAGAGTAGCAATCTTGTAAAAGAAGCGACATCTGTCTTCAACACGAGACTTTTCCAATTATGTATAGTTTCTTTGTACAAAATACTATTTTTGATAAACTTGATTTTTAAGTCATTCACTGATATTTTTACCAAAAGACGAAAAGAAAAGTACAAAGGCATAATGAAAAATTCAAAAGTTTATCAAGTTGTTTCAACCAAGAAAAAATTAGTATAGGTAACTGTAATTTGTAAGGACACATTAGAAAAGTAATGCAAGAAAGTTAGCATTTTTGAGAATTAATAAGTTCTTCTTGACATACATTACACAAGGCCATAACATAAATAATGACTGTACAATAACAATTATACAACATGCTAAATATCTTCACCTACATTTTAATTATTTAAACAGATTTGCCTTCATGCAGCAATGAGAAAAGTGTTATGTCAGAGAAACCATTGCACTTTAATTTAAGAAATCGTATTTTCAATGGGAAATTAATGTAGATCTGTTCAGTAGTGGATCCATGGTTGTCAATGACAATCCAGTTTCTAATATCGTGGCTCAAAACAGAACCAGCAACATGATTATAGAATTTCTAAATTTCGCTCTTTTGCTCTCCTAGTTCAAGATATTTCCTTCATACGTTCTCAGTAGATTTATCAGAATATCATATTACCTTATAAGACACCCAGAATCAATCCTACAAAAAAACTCAGAAAAATGACATACCTACTTATTACATATTTCCAGTCGACTTAAGACGTAGGGGTAAGTTAACTTTTTCTAACTCCTTTTTGGACATTTTAACTAAGATTTACCCATCTATTCAAGAAAGACAGTTGCACCAAGCTGTTAACAAACAGTCAAAAACACAAGTAATGCGCATGGGATTATGCATTAAAGCTTAACAACACATTGACAGTGTAAAGAATGCCGTTTGATATTTCTTTCTAATATAGCTAAAGCATTACTTGACAAAATATACGTTATTTACAGCAGATTT